GGGCTCGGCGTCGCTGCTGCTCGAGAAGGCGCGGCGCCGCAGAGGGGCGGCCAGGGTGTGGCAGTTCGAGTACGCGAGCCGCATGGCAGACGCTGGTGGGGCGGCAGGGCGACCGGAGATTCCTGACTGGCAGTCAGGGGCAACGATAGGGGAGGACAGGCGTAGGGGGGGATGCATCGACCCCCAATCGCCCATGGATCGCCGATAGGGGTCTGATAGCCCCAACCCGCCGTGGGAGGTGCGGATTCACCATCGGGGGCCTATCGCCGATCTATCGGCGATGTATCGCCGATTCCAGGTCGATGCATCCCACCCTATGCCAGTCCCCCCCGTGTCGTTGCCCCCCAGGCAGTCCGAGTATGAGGTGTTCATGAACCGGAGCAAGTCGGAGCGCTTTTCCTTTCCACCTTCGGGCGCAGAGAAGGAGGAGGAGAGATTGATGGGGGAGGCCGCTCGGGCATTGAAGCAGAAATCACATCAACCGCACATTGTTCTCGTCGGGGACTCTTTGATGCGCCAGCAGTATTTCAATCTGGCATCGTGGATGATACACGGCGAAGCTCGCCCCTCGGAGCCTAATCATTACATTGTGGCAGACAATTACCAGAAATTGTGGAGGGCAATTTTCCGCCACCAAAATAGAGAACTGCAGGGTGAGGGTGTTTCTGAGATTTGCCACTGCGGCCGTGACAATCGAGACGCAAACAAGCACGACTTCGGTGATTTCGTCGAGGATCGCTTCATCACGCTGCCTCAGAATGGATCGTCGATCACGTACATCAACTGGTCTGGTGAGCATGCTTTCCACGGGTATCGGTCCGCCTGTGGCAATTCCCGCCGCCCCGCCGACGAGGCTCGGCAAGACCATGCTTCTCTGGGGCCCCTGCGGGCTGGCCCCCCTTCGTTCCTGATCCAACGGTCCTGAGAATAGCACGAGGACTGCACTCCAGCCGTCGCGACTCTACCATGGGCGTTCTTGTTGCTATTCTGGCGTCCAGAGGATGGGGGGCTTTGTCAGGGCCCCGAGACTAACAGCAGTTCGGCCCCTTTTGGGTCCTGGGCCGTCTGCCGTCTGGGGCGTGATGGTGGTGCCGAGCTCCCACGAGCAGGCCCGCCCAGGCAGCACTCGGGGCCGCCTGGAGATGGGCGCCACGATGCCGGGGCGTGGCTGTGGCCGCAACGGTGACGCTGCGTGACCGTTGCGCTGTCGCTTTGGGGTCTCTTGGACGTTTCCTGGGGGTCGCTCGAGGACTCATAGGGGGTCCTTTCTGGCGACCTGCCGGGGGCTAGGTCTGTCTCGGCTGAGGTGGTTCCGATTGGGCAGTTCAAGCTATGCGCGTCAGAACTACCTAGGCGCGCTAATATTTGAACCGCCTTGGACGGTTTCTGGCCATTTTGTAGAAGGGGGGGGGTTACGGTCGAGCCGTTTTGAGGCCGTCTCATACCGTTTTTGGTGTTTCTGGTTCCGCAGGGGCCACCAGGGGGCATTCCGAAGCCGCCCTTGACCAATCTTGCACCACTAATGGGGCCTTGCTGATAACATGTCGTTCCGCGGCGGCGCTGATGGCCCCTTAGTGGTTCCTTCTTGAGTTACTCTTCAGTTGTTGGACAACGCGGTCGTACCTTGATTTTGCTATCTGCGATGAGGATCCTGGTTTCCCCGATTTCCGTTATTCCCAGCGATTCGTTTGAGTGTGTTCGTCTTTTCTTGATGACTGAGAATCCTTTGCTTTACTTATCTGCGGTCATATGATCGGGGATCTGCCCCCCTCTTTTTTGCGATCGGATGTTTGTGATCGGACGGTATGGTGCACCCTTGAGTTTCGTATTATGCGATGGGATCCCGACTTGGCGCGTCGTTACGCGTGATAAGATGTCCCTCCCAGTGTCGTTACCTGCTGTCAGGTGTTACGGTACGGCATCCCACTTGAGGTCAGCATGCGCAGTCTGATGATACGACCCCTGTAGTTCCTCAGCAAGTGCATGCAAATACAGTCAAAAACCCTAATAAGGACGCGTGACTTTGCTCAGGGTACCCTTGCGTCCTTGCTCTTCCTTGCTCTTGCGTCCCTGGGGTTCTCGTCGTCCGCCGCCCCAGAAATCCCAACCTCGGCTTCCAAGGGTCTCGCGTCCTTGCCGCGCGTCCTTGTTAGGCTTCTTGACTGCATGGGGTTCTTGCTTCGACTGCCGGAGGAGTTGGTTACCAGCCTGGAACATATCCCTATCCCTATGTTTGACATCACCTCACCTCGATGCCGATCTGAAGGATTCCCTCAGTTTTTGAGGGCCTATCCCTGAGATTGTCCTCGCTTCTTGCTCGCCCATCTTAGGGATAGGGACACGTTCGAGGCTGGTTAGCTGGCCGCCTTGAGGTCAGCATGCGCAGCCTGATGCTGCGACCCCTGTAGTCCCTTCAACACGTGCATGCAAGTATGGGGTTCTCTGTAAGAACGGTTTTTTGAAGGCAGATCTGCCTTCAAAAAATGGTCTACTCTGTAAGAACGGTTTTTTGAAGGCAGATCTGCCTTGTAAGAACGGTTTTTTGAAGGCAGATCTGCCTTCAAAGAACCGTTCTTACAGCTTCGACTGCCGGAGGCGTTGGCCGCTTCCGTCGGGGTTTCACCCGGTGCCCGGCCGCTGGCCCCTCGTCGGCGCCGCGTGCGCGGGGGCGCCCCGTGGGCGCCCGGGCGGGCCCGCCGAGGCTCCGCCTCCGTCGCCCGGTGGCTGGCCGGTCGTGGGCGCCTCCCGGCCGCCACGTGCGCCGGCCGCGCCCGCCGAGGTGTCGCTCGGGGAGCGTCCGCGGGCGCTGTCCTGCCCAGACCTCCTCGAGTCGTGAAAAAATCACGACGGGAGTTTTTTCGCTATTTTCGGCCTCTGAGGGCCCTCACCGGGCCTCGGGACCGTCAAACAACGACTCGGGATGAAAAACTGGCCCCGGGGAATGGGTCTGGACCTCTGGGGGTCGCGTCATGAAAAAAACATGACGTCGGGGGTTTGGGTCTGCAGTACTTACAACGACGCGAAGATCGGGACAAAATCGGATCGGGATAATTCGAGATCTCTGAGAGTCGGCGGGTTTGGAGGATGTATTGGGCGCCGCGGCCGCTCCAGAGCGTTCCGGAACGCTCTGAGAGCGCTCCGGGACGCTCTGGAGCGATTTATCCCGATCCTAGCCCTGTTGCAGTGCTTGAGGCTGGTGTTCACGACGTGCCGTTGACGGCAACACCACATCGCTCACCCTCCGGATCTTCGCCTCCGGTCCCTGTCCGCGGCGTACTTTTTCCTGTGCAAGCTCTTCGGCGCCGCCTGCACCCCGGGCCCTCCATGTAGCTTGCGCCACGTACTTTGCTCCACGTGTGTTGCATCACACGGGTTGCACAACGACGCAGCTCGCACCAAGCATCTTGCACGACGACCATTGCACGTCATAGCTTGTGCCACGTACTCGCATCACATCGCGGGCACCACATAGGTTGCACTACGCAGCTTGCACAACATAGATTTCACCACATAGCTTGCACCACACATATTGCATCACATGGGTAGCGCACTGTTGGGGGCCAAGTTGGCAAACATGTTTTCGTGGTCGGATGGTATTGCCCCGTCTTGCTTTTCGTATCAGCGCGCGGTACAAAGAATTCACCTTGGATCCACTTTGCTCCTCACTCGTTGCACCGAGCCGTGTGAGGTCCACATGCTGCTGAGTTTGTGTGACGCCATTATGACTACACATCACCTCGAAAACACACAGCCTTGCTGTAGAGCCTCTTAGGGGCTTCGTGGGGTCCCCCTGGGAGTTATGTGTATATGTCATCGTTCGGGCTCTCTTGTGATGTCTGGGCAGTCTTGGAAGCGTCTGGGGTGGTCTTGGTTTCGTCTTCTGGCAAAGCTGGGCCGTCTTCAGGGATGCCCCGTCGGTCGAAAGGCCAGAGGGCGCAACGCGGGAAAAAGGTAAGGATCGACCTCTGACGATTCGAATTGGGCATGAGTGTGTTTCGTTTGTTGCAGACGGCGAAACATGAGCGGGACAAACACACGGCAACTCAACACACCTCAACATGCCGTCGCTACGGCGGCGGATTTCAATCCGTCGGACGAACGCCCCACGCAAGCAGCCTGCGAAATCGGGAAGTGTACGTCGCCGTTCAAGTGGACGGTCAAACAGCCAGACTGGCAGAACGCCCAAGGTGTGGTGCAACTCTTGCGCAGCGTGGTGGCGAAGCTGAACCCGACGCCGACGCACGTGATGCTAAATACTGGCAAGTGGGGGCATCTGACGTCGCGCGGCCTGCGCACTCTGTTTGCGGCCGGCGCCGAGATCCAGCAGAGCATGGGGACCAGATTCGTGTGGAAGACGGTGACGCACTCGAACGGTGACAGAAAGCATGATTCCCAGGCGGTTGTGAATGCGGAGAAGGTGTTGGCGATGCAGTTTGGATGGGATGTATTCGACGCGTACAACATGACAAGCAGTTACCCTGGGCGTGCGCAGAATTACCGAGACGACATGCATTTCGAAGATAAGGTCACAACACACCTCAATCGAATGTATGTGGAGTCGTTGCTGCAGACATTGCAGTAGACTGTAGTGGTCAGAACACAATCAGGCAGCCGCCTGCCAGGATAGCGCAAGCTTGCCTGCCCGTGAAGCTAATTCACGTTCACCTCGAGTCTGGGACGATAACCGTTCCCGCGAGAGTGGGAACTCGGCGTCTGCGCAGCCATGCCCTGACGAAGGAGTGAGTGGCATCTGTCGCATGTGCATTTTAATGCCCGTGCGCCGTCAAAGCGCCAGGCCTGTTTGCTTATCTCACCATCGCCAGATATCGTGCCACGCAAAAGTTATCACTGTGGGCGGGTCCTCGCCCTCATCGTCCTCCTCATCACCTTCCCCGTCCTAATCATCATTCCGCTCTTCAGCGTCTCGCTCCTTCTCATTGTCCCCCTCATCATCGTCTTTTCCTGTTGACCACCGCTCCATATGTCAATGCGCAGAATCCCGACCACCCTGTCCAGAAGCGATTCCTAGGCGAATCTGCAGCCATTTTGGCTCAAGTCATTCGGGCCCAAGCTAAGCCAGCCAGCGTGTTAGGCGAACCAGTTCATCCGTGCCTCTGCCATGGCAGCCCACCTCTCCTCCGCAGTCCTCGCGGCTTGCGCCCTCGCCGCCGCGCGCCTTGCTCTCGGCAACCGCATACAGGCGGACCTGTCGAGCGACCTGGGCGCGGATTTCAGCGCAATCTCTTCGGAGTGGATTCAGGTCGGCATCAGCTCCGAAGGAGAGAACGAGCGGCGCGAGGGCTCCAATGTGTCCACCTCGTGCAACGACGAGCAGTGCTCCAAGTGCTGCTGCCAGGACACCAGGGACGACTACAAGGACGACACCTCGGACGAGATCGTCAAGAAGAGGATCAAGGTCGCCACCCCCAACAACAAGGAGACCAAGGAGTGCAGGGGCAGCTCGTACGGGCTCTTCACGCTCGGCAAGTGCTTCGACGACTGCTCCAAGTGCAGCAGCCAGGCCCTCCAGAAGTGCGAGAGCCCCCCGGAGGACATCTGCTGCCGCGTCGTGAAGCCCGGCGGCGAACATTGGTCCGTGATGCGCTTCCCGTGGTACGAGTCTCGCGGGAAAGACTGCGCAGCTGCGACCGGCCACATCATTGCGGAGGACCTTTGCATGAACGCCTGCGAGACGCTCAAGATCAACCGCATGATGTCTCAGACCTACAAGCCGACGTTCCGCACAGACCGACAGTTTGCCAGCAAGTACTGCCAGTAGGTTTGTGCATCTAGCGTCACATGTCGCCGCGGCGTCGAGATGCTGCTTGTCTCGATAGAGAAACGCGACTTTTCGCCCACTGCCTCGGCACTCTCTCCGGCCTTTCTCACTTTTGACGGTCCGCGCGGACCGACAGTTTGCCAGCAAGTACTGACAGTAGGCTTGTGCATCCGGCGTCACATGTCGCCGCGGCGTCGAAACATTGCTTGTCTCGATGGAGAAAATAAAAGATAAAAAACGATTCCCAGGCGAACGGTCGTGAGAAGGGCAGTGGAGGAGCACAAGTTAAGCATAGAGGATTGCCACCAGTCAGACGAAGTTGGGGTCAGTTCGAGCAGGGCCCAATGGACCTCTCTTGGGGCCCTCGTGGGGTCCTCTTGGTGCAGCCTTTCGCGCCCTCCTTGAGGCTCTCCTTGAGGTAGGTTCGGAGCCCTGAAGTGCTCTTGTGTCCATCCTGGAGGCCATCAACACATAAGGAGCTGCCCTCAGCCAGCCCCTCGACATCCAGCGACTCGCGCACCACTCGGAGTTTTCGGTCGACTTCGTCGGTTCTCGGCGGCTTTCCAGCCCCGGGATGCTCTCCAGCAGCTGCGCCTTGCCATGTGGCGTCGGGGGCTGCCCGGATCGTCCCGAACGGCCGCTGGAGACCCCAGTTGTGACCCGAAAACCAGACGACGAGGATCACCAGGGATCGGGCTTCAAGAAGCACCCTTCCTCCTGGAGCCACCACAATCGCCTCTTGGAGCTATCGTGAGGCGCTGGAGGTCCTCTTGGGGCGCATCCAGGTTCTTCCTGGGGCCATCTTGAGACCGGCTTGAGAACCCAGAAGACAGTCGGAGGCGAACCGTAATGATGAAAAGCCAACGTCTCCGACGGCAGATGTCTTTCCATCGCTCGGCCCTTGTATGATGGCATCGCACGCTGGGTTTTTGCATGTGTATTCAGCGCGAGGCCCCCAGATGTTCCACATAGGGATCCAGCCGTGTGTGTTTCCAGTTTCCCCCATCTGTTCCTGCCCCACCAACCTTATCAGCAGCCAGTGATGCAGGCTGACAGGGTGCCCCCACACGGTTGAGCGTTTGCCGCAGCGTGCGCGCTGACGTGCTTTTGTTGGACAGGCGGGTGGAGGGGTGGGGTGGGCTTTGACAACTTTCCAGGCGAATCCAGACGTGACGATGAGGGAGGGGTATTCCGAGTTTCGGTATCGGTGTACCAGGAGGAGGAGGAGGAGGAAGAGGAGGAGGAGGAGGAGGAGAAGAAGAAGAAAGAGAAAGTAGGGATGTGGAGGGGGAGGCAGAGGAGGGCCTCCTCTCCCTGCTGGGGGGTGATCTCGTGGGCGCGAGGGGCGCCCACTCGCAGGGCGCTGCGCCGAACCCGTGCCGCCGAGGCCCGCGGCCGGGCCCCGACAGGGCAGCGCGGGGCGGCGCGGGGCGGAGCTGGAGGGTTTCCCCGAAGGGCTTAGGCGACCCGTCCTCCTCTTCCTCCTCCTCCTCCTCCTCCTCCTCCTCATTCTCCTCTTTCGCCTCCTCCTCCTCCTCCTCCTCATTCTCCCTCTCCTCCTCCTCCTCCTCCGTCCCCTCCTCCTCCGTCCCCTCCTCCCCTTCCTCCGCCTCCTCCGTTCTCTCCTCCGTCCCCTCCTCCCCTTCCTCCGTCCCCTCCTCCTCCTCCGGTCGCCTACGGCCCCGGGGGAAACCGGGCAGGCGGAGCGGGGCGGGGTCCGGGTCGCGGGCGGGTCGCTCTTCGAGGGGAGCCGCTCCCTTTGGCATCGCTCGGAGGTGTGCATATTTTTTTCTCGGCGAGGGCCATCCTGGACCATCGAGCAAAAAAAACATGCACGGAAAATGGGCGTCCGAGCGATGGCGAGGGCCGGGGGGAGGACGGGGAGGAGGAGGGGATATAGGGGGGGGGGGGGAGGACGAGGAGCGCGGCCGCCGGCGCTCGCGGCCGCGGGAGCGCCATGTTGGGAGGGCGAGGAGGCGAGGAGCGAGGGAGATAACCGAGGATGGAGGGAGGGGGAGGAGGAAGAAGCGAGGGCGGAGGGAAGAGGGGGAGGGGTTGAGGGAAGCGCGGAGGTAGGAGGAGGCGGGGACAGTGAGAGGGAGAGAAGGACCAGGAGAGTGGAGCGAGATAGAGAAAGAGAGAGAGAGAGATTGAGAGTAGGAGGGAGCAGCCGAGCAGCCCGTAGTCAGTTTCGGATCAAAGCGGGCCTTTGTAGCACAACAGCAAAATCCGTTTGTCTCATCGCCCCTAATGTAAGATGTTTCAGATGTCTTGCTCTGGATTGTACAGCTCCTCGTCTTTCTTCCTTGCCGACCCCCTCCCCCTCCCTCTCTCCCTAAGTCCTCCTTGGCCGTAAGGGAATAGCCCAGGAAGGGCCAATCCGATCTTCATCGTATATCGTATGCTTGTCATATCTTGAGTCGGCGCTCTGCCACTGTCCTCTTGAGGGTCGCGGTGCTTTTCATTTACGCCCCGCCGATTCCGTTACCCTTGTTCTGTTGCGTGCGCATTGGTTGCGCGCGCACGTGCAAGCGTGTGCGCACGTTTTTTTTTCAGGTTGGGTGAACGATTTTGCTTGGTGTGCGCGAAGCTTCGGGGATCCAGTTGTCTGCCCGCCCCCGGGGTCCACGACTGGCGGCGGCGCTGCGCGCGCATCTCGCGAGGAGGCGGCGCAGAAGGCCGTGGAGGGTTTTTTTTGGATCTGTTCGACGGCGGGGTCTCTCGGGGCACTCCCGGAGCCCTCAGGTGTGTGTGGGGGGGGGGGCACGTGGGGCCCTTCGGGGTCGTGTCGAGGTGCCTCCCGTGGGCCTCTTGGGGCCCTTCGTGCCGCCCCGCCGCACGGCCCACGAGATGTGGCGCTGGTGAGTCAGACAGCGGCGCAGCGCCCGCGCCTCCTGGCGCTGACTGCTGAAAGTCTGTCGGGGTGGATTCGGCGCCCGTGAGCTGGACACATCTCGGTTCTTCTTTTCTGCTCTTGCATGGCGCGGGCTCTGAATCTATGCTTGTAGCTTTCCCTCTCCTCTCCTCCTCCTCCTCCCTCCCTCCTCCTCCTCCCTCCTCCTCCTCTCCTCCTCCTCCCCTCTCCTCCTCC